AGTTTCATAAGATAACTGTTAAATTATTAATTCTGTTTTATGACATAAATTATTTTTTACAAGTCAAAGGCTACATGTAATAATGAAGTTTGATTAAAAAAAGGAAATATGACTTACGGAATGAGTACTACACAAATAATCTTTTTTAATAGAACTGATGATGGAGGCAAAACTAATACTTTAGGAGTTATCACTAGCTTTGGCTAAAATATATACCTAGGATTGTATTTTGACCAGTTCAGTTATTGTAGTTACTGAAAATATTTTATTTTAAGAGATCTGTAAAATAAGCATCACAATACTTTAAAACAACTACTTCAACTTTTGTTCGCAGGATGTGCATGTAGCTGATTGCAAAGGCAGTAGCCGTTTATAAGGACCACAATGTGAAGGTGATCGGCGTTAAAAGTTTTTTTTTTAAATCAGTATTCAAATTTGCATAGACAAACGTACCAAAAGCTTTTCTTCTGCATAGAACTGAGACAATATTACTACTACCAAAGTTAGTACAAAGTTGGATTATTGGTCGAAATCTACAACTATCAGTCATTTCCGACTATATATTTGTTGAATGATATTAAACGCATGTGTGAATCAAATTAATTGTCGCATTCAAAATGACGTACACTGCGTGCGCTTATTGGTTCAAAATAGAAGACTAATCAACGTATATGTTTCTCAAAATAAATTGAAAAAAAAATCTAAGTGACGCCAGTTTGAAGCTCGTATGACCTTATTACACCATTTTGTTTCTATTAATTCAACTTCAATGTTTTCTTATACATGTATCTCTAATTAAATGTTTAGTTTCATTTTCTGTCATAAATGAAAATGGACCTTAATAGTGCCGTATATATTTGAATGAAATAAAAAGATTGTAATGATGACGGAATATCAAAATAAAATGAAATGTAACTTACAAATATCAAATTGTATTGCGTGTCACCATATTTGTAGGCACTAAATGGATAATTCAAACTAAAATTGCACATATATAAAAATAAAACGGAATGGTCAAAGGTCATTGTGATACCTCTCAATATCAGATCCATGCCGTCGATACAAATTTAACCCAAATATCACCATTAATTTTGAAAAATAATAAAGTCGAACAAGAAACGAAAACAAAGACAACCGGTGCAGGTCCCTGCTGTATTTTTATTTATGCCGTGAATTCAAATTTGTTCGTATAAACAAAATTATAAATTAAGGAAATTTGATTGATTGGTTTGTGGTTGTTTAACGCCGCATCTTTGCAAAAGAGTGAAGTTTGGTGGCATCAAGGAGTAATAAAAACACAACGGAAAGAAGGAAAGACCAGACCACTAAATGTTTTCTAAACTATTCCGAGACCATGGACAAAAGTAAAAACATTCCATTGACAAACACTCAAATAACTAAAAGAATTACAAAAAAAAATGAAAATACCTGATTTTTTATGCAACATTTATACAATTTATCTTACATCACAATTTCAGTGTATTAGCTACGACAGCAAGTAACTATAATATACATAAACATGAAAAAGAAGTTTAAGAATTTAATGTCTCCGTCGCAAATTATTAATGAAATGAAGGAAAAAAAAACAAATTAAAAGAAAAGACAGTTACTTCATTTTACCCGATTTTCCCCCATTCTCTCAGGAACTGTGTGAGTGTTTTATATAAAATGTCACACTATTCGGTGACAATCAATTATTTATCATCAGAGAAGCTTATCCTCCATCGATTGGAAAAGAATATCTCCTAATCTAAAACTGGTTCCGTTATTTCAAATGATTTAAAACGAAACGTATGTTTTAGTGAAGGGTATTTGTTTCTCCCATTTAATATAAAACAGTTGACAACAGATGCTGGATGTTAAACCACTCTTCCAAAACCACTGTACTTCATTATTTATAACAGCGATCGATACGAAGGAAGGTGCCTAGAGGCAAGCGTATGGGTGCACTGAAGAATCAGATCAATAGCTAGCCCTAAATTCTACCGATTGTTAATGGGGGCTTTTGTCATCGATACGGCGCATGCTCCTGATAATGTCAGCTTCTGTAAAGATTTGGAAAATTGACTTTACCCATATTTAGTTATTCGCGATCGATATTCAGGGGAACGTTATTCAGCATCCGTCGCCAATACATTGGTGACAGTTGTATTGATGTGTAGTTCACCTTCGTTATTCATAAAAATATTGTACCAGGTGTAATTGCTAAAACTGGTTAATTCTTAGTGAACAGTGACTATTTAGTAACACAATCAGGAACAAGAAAAAGAACCGGTGGGTGCCGAAATATGTCGAAAAAGACGAGTAAAACAGATAAAGGAAAATCCGAGGTAAAAAGTTTTTATTTTTTCAACCTTTAGTATTGATTAGATGATGTAACTGTTGAATTTAAGATAGAACGAGACATTTACTGAGAATGTAGGGTGAAGATGAATCAATACAAAGATTTTGAATTCTTCAGATTTTTTTTTATTTGTCGATATTGAATTTTTACCAAGTGGGGAAAATGTGTGTATTGTAAGTATGAAAGATAATTTTATAATATCAGTTGGGAGAAGAGGAACACATGTTTTATTTCTTTAATGTAAACGGTGATATTTATATCTTGAAAACTGACCATTATGATCGCAACAACTAGCACAGTTAATTTTGATTTGAAAATTATGGAAGGGTGGATTTATTTTGACAATAGATGATCACAACGCTACCAAAAACGTTCGTATCGATCGGTAACATCGGGTCATACGCTGACAAAAGTCGCACACCATGGCACGCGACACAGCTGTTACCCTTTAGCAGAGGTGCAGATGGGGTAATCGATTATAATAGTCTCACAAAATATTATTGATTCCTTTGTTAATGGGTTTAATTCAACGATCAAAGGGTGAATAACTACCACCTGTATTGGAAAAGTGTGTAACGGGATTGGGACAAAAGAGGACGGACCAATCAAAGTATTTTTCTTCGCTTTTTAACTTTTTGGAGAAAATAGCCTCCAGTTAGACATAAATTTTTGACGTTTAAGAGTTATAAAACATCAAAAATTTGTCCTTTGTGTTTAAGAGTTACAGGATTTACCAATGAAGGACCACTCAATCTCAACAGTAAGTTTTTTTTTTTCGAATATAATTTACGATTTATTTGAACTATTGTGACCACAACAATTTATTTACATATGTTTGTTTTTTGTTTGTTTTTGTTGTTGTTGTTGTTTTTTTGGTGGACGGGGGTAGTAATTTTTAATTCAGGTTATCCAAATACATTATTTTATCCATGAAAGGATGAAAGATCTGTTATCTTACAAGGAAAGCTTTTAAGAAGATGTATATTCTTTCAAAAAGGACGTCGATATTTTACCTGAAAAGTTCCCTGATCAGTAACGGCTCACCTGTATTGATTTTACCTGGGACAATTAAGCCTTTGAATTGGGCAAATGAGGTTTACAGTTGATGGTACAGAGATTGGATGATAATGTAAGCAGACTCTCAGCGGACATAGTCATGTCACACAATTCTAATATTGATTTTCTCTGCTACTTTCGGCATTAACCACTTTACTACATTAATATCAACGGTTTTGGGGAACGTGATCTACGTTGGGTTCATTATTGGACAAATTTTTATCAATAATTTATGGGAGACAAATATAATGTGTGGATAATATTTACACTCCTGTTAGGTGTATAAGTCGTATATAAATATACCTAATTAAAATGGTTATCAACGGAAAGCTACGAATAAAGAGGCAAAGTTTAAACTTGAGAACGTTAAAATAGCGAATTAACCATTACAAGTTAAAATCTTTACTAAGATGCTTAATAAATACCGGGTATATAGTCTTTATCTGCTTAGATATATATCACTGTGAAGAAAGATTTTATGTTTGAAATACTTGAAAGATATCTGCAGTTTTTTGTGTTTAATTGTCAGGGCATCTTGCAGTTACATATAGAACAACTTTTTAAATAATATTTATCACCAAATCCCTCTCAACTTATTAAACGTATTCCCCAGTATAACAAGCGCTGGAGTTAACATCTTGAGTGCTAGACTTTTCATCTCCAGCGCTAGACTAAATAAAAAACCAGGCTCCGTACGGTAGTATTCTACCCCGTCCATTGCATATAAAACTGTATACCCTAAACGATTTTAGTCGTATGTATTCTAGTATAATCATACTTTTGACGATCTTTTGTGTTTTGTATATATACAAGTTTACTCATAATTTTACGAGGCTACGCGTATGAAATACTAGATTTATTTTTTTACCAAGCTCTAATTTCTTGCCAGATGAAAGGTGATTAGGGGTTAAAAGGTAATCTGTGTCTTAAATTATAATTTTATCATAAATCAGATTGGAATGATTTATTTTTACCATTGAAGGAATTAAAAACTCTTGAATTGAAAAATAAAGACTCGCTATATTATTTCCGAGATATAAGGCCTCAAAAAGTCAAATCATCAACATTTGAATATTTGTGTGATGTAAAGATTTTTCTTTAGATTTCTTACCAAATTAACATCTGCGTTGTTCTACCTTATTTGACAAGATTTCCCAGATATAAGGAATGAAAAGGTGCTAAATGAAATTCATGCCCAAATTTGTATTTGTATGCGAATTCTTAACACACCTTGCAACAAACTTTGCTTGAATTTTTTCAACAAAACTTTACAGATTTGCTGTAGTTCTTACCATTTCGAAGATATTAGAGTTAAAGTTTGTTTGCAGCCAAGTACTGTGTTTAGCTCAATTCTGTGGTCATATTTGCTTTCAATATATATACGTGTTCGACTTTCCCTTACCAATATGCAGCGGGAATATCAGGATTTGCCCGACGTAGCCCATCTTTAGTTCTAGTCCGATTTTGATATATGTTTTTTTTTAATCCATTATGTACAATCATCTTGAATACGCAAGAAATATTTGCCATTGGATATTACGCAAACAACAATCAATCAACCCTACCGGTCCAAATATCATCTTGATTTTGATTTTTGTAGGAGAGTATGTCTACAACAGACAGTCTGGTCAGTGAAGCGAGTCCTGTTACGGATATTAGGACCAGCACACCTGTGAAAGGTAAGACTTGACGTCGTCTTGATGTTATAGTAAAGTAACCAGTCTTAGTGAAAATTTAATGAGTAAAGTTGTTACATTTATTATCACAATATGAATTATTACAAATTTGATAAAAAAAATAAATATCTTGCGTAAAATTGTCAACAAGAATATGTAAAGCACGACTTCACGCATGTTATTAGCTTCATACAATGTTAAAAAATGTAAATGTTCAGTTCATAGATTATGTAATTAGGCTAAAAGTAAGGTTGGTTCTCATTTGCCATCATTAACTTGCTTACTAAAATCTAACGAAGATCCGCTAGTTACAATTTACTTACCACACTATCTAAGATATGGGAGTTACCATTGAAATACCAAATATAAGAAACTTCGGTGAGTTACCATTTACTACAAAAGACTGGCGAAGTTCCACGAGTTGTCATTAACATACTAAAGTTATCGAAGATTGGCGAGTTACCGTTTTCTTACCAAAGCTAACGAATTTCCGAGAGTTTTCCGAGAGTTATCATTTATTTACTAAAGCTAACGAAGTTCCGCGAGTTACCATTTACTTATCAAAGCTAACTTAGTTCGGCGAGTTCCTATTTACTTACCAAAGCTGACGAAGTTCGGCGACTTACCATTTACGTTCAAAAGGCATAAAGCAAACAAAGTTCCACAAATTATCATTAATTGAACAAAGCTAACTTAGTTCTACGAGTTGTCATTAATTGAACAAAGCAAACAAAGTTCGGCGAGTTATCATTAATTGAATAAAGCTAACGAAGTTCCACGAGTTATCATTACTTGAACAAAGCTAACGAAGTGCCACGAGTTATCATTAATTGAATAAAGCAAACAAAGTTCGGAGAGTTATCATTAAATGAATAAAGCTAACGAAGTTCCACGAGTTATCATTAATTGAATAAAGCAAACAAAGTTCGGAGAGTTATCATTAATTGAATAAAGCTTACAAAGTTAGGTGAGTAACCATTTACTTACCAACGCTAACAAAGCAAAGTGTCGCGAGTTAATATTCAATTATCAAAGCTAACGAAGTTCCGCGAATAATCTTAAATCTATCCTCAGTCTTTCAAAGCTATCTAAGTTCCGCGAGATACCAATACATTACCAAAGCTAAGGAAGTGTTGCGAGTTACCATTAATGTAATAAAGCTAGCAAAAAGTAAAATCACAAAAATACTGAACTCCGAGGAAAATTCAAAAAGGAAAGTCCCTAATCAAATGGCAAAATCAAAAGCTCAAACACATCGAACGAATTGATAACAACTGTCATATTCCTGACTTGGTACAGGCGTTTTCTAATGTAGCAAATGGTGGATTGAACCTGGTTTTATAGCTAGCTAAACCTCTCACTTGTATGACAGTCGCATTAAATTCCATTATATTGACAACGATTCGTGAACAAAACAAACAGACACAATAGGTAAAAATGTCAAAAATAGGGGTACAGCAGTCAACATTGTGTTATCATCTTAATCACTATAAAAACAAACAAATGTAGCAAAGTTCCTTTATATTAAACTGTATACATTTTTTAAAATTATTCAAATGATTCCCTTGCTTGAAAATGATAACTAACAGCATATGACGAAAACATTTATTAAAATTACTGATTGTCCTTTTCGCCAGAATTGGTTTATTTTTTTAACTTGTTGTTTATAAAAGCCTTTTGTGCAATATTATAACAACTTCTTCACTTTTGAAGGTCAGGATGTTTTCATATTTTTTATGACGCTTGTTTTGAGTTAACCCAACTCATGAATACGTAAAATCATTGGGACTATAGAAAAACAAGGGGTATAACAGATTCATGATTCATCAGTGGATGTCGTTGTTTGACGTCTGTCATATTTGTTTTTGTTTATATTTTGTCATAAATCAGACTGTTGGGGCCTTTTTAGCCGAATAAAGGACATGGGTTTTTCTCAGTCTTAAAAAAAAGGGGGGGGGGGGTACGATGACCTATAACTGCTTAAATCCACGTCATTTGATAATTGTCACTTTAGCAATCATACGACACTCCTTATTTTATATTATCCATATAATTGGAGGTCACATTTGATATTTATATCATTGAACTAGTTTTATGGTAGGTAAATAGAGCAAACTGATATTTTTTATTGTCATAGGTTAGATATATAGATATAACGGTGATTTAGACAGAGAATCATAATGGCATATGAAAGTGAAAATATGAACATCACGATATGCACACTAGTACCAGACCACTTTCCGTGCCAAAGCTTCTTACTTTTCATCCTGGACTTTAGATGCATCCATGTTGCTTATACAGTCTTAAGTTTAAGTGCACGTCTCTTGTAGATCTTGTGTCGCATTGACTTATTTATACCCAAGATGTTATTCCCGGAATCACAAATGTAAAACAATTCAAACGAGAAAACTAACTAACTATATGTATTGGGTTCGTCACCTTGAATTTGTTGTTTGTTTTTTTAAGTCGGTATTGTATGAGTTATTTTAAGCCCTTGCCGCTACGCGAAGGGGGCGTTAAGTGTTATCCTTGATCGTCCTTCCGTCCGTCCCATTTTTGTTTTCTCACTCTAACTTTAGTTTCTCATCCAAATTTTATGAAACCCATACACAATGCTAGGAACCAAAACTCGCAGATAGAGTTCGAATTCGGGCAGTGCGTCACTAACCGTTCTAGAGGAGTTATTCCCCTTTATAACTTGGAAAATAGCAAACTTTTTCGTATCCGCACTCTAACTTAAATTTGCATGAAGCAAATTAACTTAAGTTTGCCTCGTGCAAATTTTATGCAATTCATACACAATGCTAAGAACCAAAACTCGCAGCAGACGGAGATCGAATTTGGGCAGTGAGTCACTTACCGTTCTAGAGTTATTCCCCTTTATAACTTGGAAAATTTCATTTTTTTTCATTACCGCACTAGCAGTGACATCAAATGCTCTCAAAAAATATTTTCACGTATTATAAGCAAGCTCGAGCGGGGGCATTCGTGTCCTCAGACACATTCTTTATTTTTGTATTTGCTATAGGAAAATCAAGAAAACGAGAATGGGTAACCCAAAATTTTAAAATCCGGAACGCAATGTCTAGATCTTCCCAAAAAGATTTCATTTTAAACAGATAGGATTTTATTTTATTTGCCAAAGAATTGATGTCCTTTATATAATCTTTAAAAACTGTTGCATTTTCTGCGAAAAAAAAGTATGGAGGCCTGTATGTTAATAACTGAATTTTGAATTTACATTCGTTTACATTTAATTTTCTGTCTGGCGTTCTTTCCCTGTATTTGTCTCGTGAATGTTTAAAACCTGAGAATCAAACCAAGTCTGACATAAACTTACTCTTACAAACTTGCAATACAGCCAATGATTGAACACGAAATATCTATAATACTAAAGGAACGAAATTGGAAATGAATATTCTGGCTTGGTAAGGACTGAAAAAAATAATCTTGCTCACACCAGGATGAAAATGAATATTCAGCCCAACAAAATGGAGGAAACAGATGTGTAGAAACCCCCTTAAGAAAATCAATTGGTCGTCTCAAAATATCTACGGTATTCTTTATACCCGCGCTCGCGAGTGTTACTTTCTAGTGTACTTGCCAATAATTAATGTCTACTTTCTAGTGTACTTGCCAATGATTAATGTCTATTTTCTAGTGTACTTGCCAATAACTAATGTCTACTTTTTAGTGTACTTGCCAATAATTAATGTCTACTTTCTTGTGTACTTGCCACTAATTAATGTCTACTTTCTAGTGTACTTGTCAATAACTAATGTCTACTTTCTAGTGTACTTGTCAATAATTAATGTCTACTTTCTAGTGTACTTGCCAATAATTAATGTATTTAACTACAATCAGGTTGGTATATTCAAGGATCAGTGTTCCTTGATCGAGCAAAATTTCTGTCACAGATACAATTCGGTTAGGATTAAATTACTATAATAAAAATTGACGACCAATCTTAGCATACTGTAAATTAGGGTGTGGCTTTTTGCAGGAGGTTCAGTTTGGTGAACATCTTGTGAGGAGCTGACTGCATAGACGTATGTTGTATTCCTATTGATTTTCTCTATCTTCATTATCAATATGGACATAGCTTGCTCAATAGTTAGCTGGAATCCAGTTAAGTACGCATGTTGACCATCTTTCTTAGTAGGGGCCTCGGTTGCCGAATCTCAAAGTAGTTCATCTACAGTATCACTATAAAAAAGAAGATGTGGTATGATTGCCAATATAACAACTCTCCACAAGACACCAAATGACACAGAAATTAACAACTATTGGTCACCGTACGGGCTTCAACAATGAGCAAAGCCCATACCGCATAGTCAGCTATAAAAGGCCCCGCAATGACAAATGTAAAACAATTCAAACGAGAAAACTAACGACCTAATTTATGTACAAAATAATGAACGAAAAACAAATATGTAATAACACAGCAACAAACGACAACCACTGAATTACAGGCTCCTGACTTGGGACAGGCACATACAGAACGTGGCGGAGTTAAACATGTTAGCGGGCGCCCAACCCTCCCCTAACCTGGGACAGTGGTGTAACAGTACAACATAAGAACACACTATAAAAATCAGTTGAAAAAGGCTTAACTCATCAGATGGATACAAATAGAAATACATCTAACAAAAACACGGAGTAGACGTGGACGGATACTTGTACATCCCAACAACAAAAAGACACTAAGTACAGATCTGAGAGTACTCGCAGTTACTTACAGCTAGTTCAAAGCCAATAACAACTAATAAAAAAAAACCTGCATCTAAGACTAAATTATCAATCAGTACACATCTAACATCCAATGAATTTAGTATAAAGACGTCATAAACAGTCAGAGAAAAACATGACCTTGTGCGATGCCAATATACAGGTATCGACAGATTGTAGAGCCATGAATGTGCATATGTATATAACAATAATATTTAGTTTGCTTTTAATTTACTGATAACAAAATCAATATCAATACCAATACAAAAAATATT